CTAGCCTAGCTTCTTGTTTTTCTTTTTAGCACGGTGTAACAAGGAGATCGGTAAGCAATAACAATATACAGCAGCATGTAACAGTACACAATAGCAGCGAACATTACAGTCATGCGGTAGTCCCAGCTACCAAAACTTCCCGAACTACATTGACCTGATTCCTGTTCAGCCCAGGATATGTAGGAAACCTCTGAAGCGAAGGTTCGATCAAATCTTTTTCGAAAAAATGCTTCACACGGAGTACTCGGATGAAAAAAATCGCTAACTTTATCTTTGCACGAAAACCCTTCGTGTCTTCGGGCAAAGAGGGGCAGCTGTAAGCACGTGATTTTTGTCCTATGAAAGAATTACTCCCAAATAGTTTTTGATAGTTTGCATTTGTTGTGAATTTTGTGTATTGTTTGTATTTGTCTGTGCATGTTTATTTATACTTTAATTAAGAAAAAAAAATATGTGTCACATGCGCATTTACAATTTAATTGTGCATTTAGGAATTAATTAAACTTTAATTAGGAAAATCACAAAAAATGCATCTTTTGTTTTTATTTCGTCATTAAGTGATGTTATTTTAATTAAATGTTAATGTGTGTTAATTGTGATGTTTGTATAGTGTTATTTGACATTTTTATTGGAAAATTAAAGGATCTTCGGATTGGGCCAATTTGAACTAAAATGAACAGGCCCAAACCAAACAACCCAATCCTGAAGCCCTGTTTACCCGGTCCAGTTGAACTGGCCACACCACCTGCCAAACGACGTCGTTGAGCCGCTTTCGATCTAGACCGTTGATCTCAGAAGGATCAACGGCCAAGATTATATCCCTCGTACCCACATACGAACCCAACCCATTCAACCCCGGACCTACCCGATCCTAATGCTAAACCAAACGACACCGTTTGGATTAACCTTTGAATCTAGGCCGTTGATCTCAAGTGATCTAACGGCCAAGACCCAACCATCCACCCCGTATAAAAGCTTCCATATCATAACCTGCTCCCATATCCAAGCACCCATGTAGTCCTCTTCTTCACCAGACCCCGAACCCTATGAAACCCTAACGCCGCCTCCTTTTCCCTCACAATTAAACCCGGCGGCAAGGACGCCGGTGACCACCGCCTTAACACCCTAGATGCACCTCACCACCCTGAATCCAAATCCATGAACCGCTTAGTTCGAATCAGTCCCTAGGTGCTTGAATCATCATTTGAAGATTCGAGCAGAACTCCGATCTACACCGATCTACCCCAGGTTCATACCAGACACTCCCCTGACCTCCCTCGTGACCAAACCAGGCTTGGTTTGGTCCGAATCTAACCAGGGAAGCATAAATCCCAAATCTGCCTTTAGGAACCCTAGAAATCATGATGTCCGGTCTGTGTCCGTTTGAACCAGATGATTAGGGTCTAATGGACCTTAATCGAAGTGTTCTCAACTGAGAACACTTCGATTAAAGTCCGTTCAACCCCAAGAAAGGTCGATTCAAATCCGAGTTAGGATTTGCTGATTTTTCCAAGACTCCAAGGTATTTTTGCTTTCCCTTTTTCTTTATCAGTTCATGTGTTTTGTTATAGTTAAAGGTCTGTTTGTATGGCTAAATGTCTTTAGTTGATTTGCTTTGAATTTTGACTGCCCCGTCCACTTTGCCCAAGGTTTCTGTATTTGGTCAAGCCCTTCTTCATTTTGTGTGTGTTTATAAGCTGTACAATCAACTGAATTTAAATTTGATTGATTAATTAGTCCCCAGTACAACTTTGTTTAGTCAGTACAATTTGAATCACATGTTGATACTTTTGGATTTCTGATCATTGGCTTCGATTGTATGTATTACAATTAGTATAGTCGAGTCGATATACGTCGTCAATTAGTTCAGCTTGGAATGGTGATAATCTGATCCTTGTCATTGGTTTGTCTGCTGAAATTTTGTTGAATTCAATTAGGAACTGAGTGTGTTGCCTGAGATTTGATCAATTTGAATCAGAAAACATTTAAGGGTGTGTTATAGTTGCAGTTCAGACTGTGGTTTTTAAATGGATGGCATGTTCACTTGGTTTAGATTGTGGGCAGCATGTGTATGGTCAGCTGTTAAGGAATTAAAATAATTGAACAACATGTGCTGTCAGATTACATTCCTGCTACTCATGCTTGGTTTTAGTTTAATAAATGATAAGGCATTTTAATAGTTTTTGTCAGGGGAATCTCATGGGAAGGGTTTATTTTTATCTTTGAGTGGGAAGACAGCAGGAGAACATGGGAGGGGGGTTTTGAATGGTCTAACATGTTGTTCTGAATGGGCTGATGCTAGAATAAATAGGGGGGAACACAAGCTAAGCAGGGACAAAAGAAAAAAAGCTAAAAAAGAGGGAGGAAAGGAGAAACGAAAAACAGAAAACAGTTCTGAAAAAAACAGCTGAAGGTTCTGGGAACAGCTGAGAGTGTATTCTGATTTCCTTGCGAGATTATTACTGAAATTTGGGCTTCTGTATGCTGCTAATTTGAGCCTGGTTTTGTTGTTATGGAGTTTGTTGTTAGTTATTGGTCAAGTTGTTGTGATTAGTGAACTGCTTTTACTATTGCATCAAACATCCTGGGTTTTTCTGTTGGTCTACCACTCTGTTCTGGGATTGTTGATTGATGCCCGACCATTTGTGGGTTTATCATTGTGGGAACAACTGTTGGTTGTTCATGAACTAGTGGTTGTATTGTTGCTGTTTGTTTCTGCTGTGATACTGCTGTGTTACTGCTGTCTGTTCGATTGTTGCTGATATCGTTCTTCTTCTTCTTCTCATTCTTATTGTCCAGCATCCAGGTACACATTCTAATTGCACTGGTGTAGTGATGAACTTGGAGCATGTAAGAGTCTAAAGAGAATGGTTGTTTGAACTTAGTGTAGTGATTTTCATCTTCTACTGTTACAGTTTAAAGCATTCTGTATACCCTACATGTAAAGTTTGACCCCATACTGTGTAATGGATTAGTTTTCATTCTATAAGAGTTTGGTCCAGTAATTTGACGGTGTATCATAATCAAAATTAGTGGTGTATCAGTGATGTTCGATCAACAAATGGTTTCGTATAGGGTCGATTAAGAAGGGTAATGTAGTAATCACGTTTGTTTTACCTTGGCTCACCAGTATATAACGCATATTTCAAAAGCATGCTATGCAATTTGGGAAAATATATGTATAAACAACAAAATCGTGTAGGTTATATTATTGGATAAGGGTTGCCTAAAACATGTAGTAATACCACCTAAGTTAGATAAGGTCATTTTGGTCTTTTCGCCTTTGCATGTAGGAATAATTACTGAACCTCATATGTGTGCCCGTCAATGAATAAGGTTGCATACGTTTAATTTCTTCATCTAAAAATAGATAATCTGTTTTGATATTATTGTGCGTCAATCTCATGTTCTAGTATTATTGAATAATAGAATATAGAATGAAAGCAGTTTTTCTTTGTACAAACTCGATCGCAATTTTCCATTCGCATTAGCCGTGAACTAATAAATAAGTTACGTTTTTCAGCATGTAAATAATTAAGAAATTTTCTTTTATTTTAGAGACAAACTTAATAGAGAAATGTAGTCACTGTAGGTTTATCCTTTTAAATAAAATGAGACGAGCCTCGCCAAATAAAATTCACAGATTGCGAGGCCCTCACAAAATGTATATATTAAAATACTTAGAATTCGGGACAGGCCGTTTAGCGAATTTTACGGCCTTCCCAAAATAACAATACGCTAGTTGCTTTAGGACGCGCCTTAATAAATCTTACCTTCTTAAACTCGGGTGCACATATATGTGACCCAAATCCAAATCTCAACGGAGTCGAAATGTATCTCTAATCACGGGTACATTGATTGTGACGTGGTTCGAGATGTGTTTCCACGATGTTGCAATTCTTGATAAAAATAACAATAGATGATAAAAGCGGTTAAAAGATAAAATTTGCACATAAGTTCATATTTGTATAAAAAATCAGATAATCA